CCCCCTCCCCTACCCACTTTGATGCATTTTTCAAATTTCGCCTTGGGGCGGAGTTATCTTTTCACAGGTGGGGGGGTAAGATACACTTTAACACCTTAAAGTTACTGTAACTAAGCTGCTTGGTGTCTTATTTTAGACTGTGTGGTTCTTACTGTAGTTTTAGTGTCCTTTAAGGTCTGGATGGTGTAGTTTGCCTGCTCCATGTTGAACGACTGCTGAACCAGCTGTTCCCTTTGACCTTCATACCTGTGAGATTAAAAAAAACAGCAGAGTTGGATTTGACTGAAGAGGATTGAAGTCACATTTAGTACAAAATTATTTTTAAAGGTCAGTTTGTGTTTGAATCATATCAGTGGTGAAGCTGGTGCTTGTTGTTTGAGTGCAACTGAAGTTGATTTTGATTATATATATATATATATATATATATATTCTGGAACAAATGATTAGCAAAATATCTCTTGATAAAGCCACTGATATTCATGAAACTTTTTTAAAGTTATCACTAGGTATAGCTCTATAACTAATTAACTTGTGGAGTCAATCTATATCAGGATGGCCAACACAACTCATCAACCATCAACACAAAAAACACAATAATTCATGTGATTTTCCCGATACCGAGCTAAAGTTTGAAGTGGTAGTAAATGACACATACCCTGATCATGACATCTTGTGCCAAAAAATGATTGTGGTTTAAAGGATTTTAAAGCTTTCAAAGACTTTACAAACTACATGCTGTACAGAAACTTTACACTGCCCTCTGACACATGCTTATATTCATCTATTAACCTCTAAACAATGGATTAAATAGTGTAACTATACGCTCAGTTGAATAATCAGGATCTACTCACATTCTCTTCTGCTTCAGGACCCTCATGGCCTTTTGTTTCACCATATTCTGCATAAAGAAAAGAACAGAAATCATTGACTTTGCCTTTCAGCCTTTAAAATGCCTTTAACGTGATGYATCCTCACCTTGGAGGGCCCATCTCTCATCTTTTTCAGCTGATCTTTGTACTTCAATAGCTCAGCATCCAGTCTGCCTATTTTCTTTTCTATGGACTCTGCCCTGGCATCCACCTGAACGGGGAGAAGATCAATCAGATGTAACGATTTTCCAGCATCCTGTACTTAATTGACCTGCTTCTGTTTGGTGTGTTAATGTGTGTTAATGTGTGTTAAGTCTCTGTGTGTGTGCATTAGGAAAGCTTGTCGTTGTGGTGCACAAGCACATCACTCTTTTCCACATAAAACCCAAACATAAACAGGGACAGCTCCTGTTTGTGTCGCGTTTAGGGGGAATAATTAACAGTAATGTGAGAAGTCATTACCACCGTGGCTGCCTTTCATGTGTCCGTGTTAGCTCAGTAATAACAGCACCGTTAGGTCATGCAGTGATAAACAACACTGGTAGTTTACTCACAGTGCTGATACAGTCCGACAGATTCGGAGGAGGCGCTTTGGGCTTCCCGCGTCCGAATATTCTGTTCATTTTTAAGACGTTTTAACACCTCAGAGCACACCGTTTTTTATTTTTAATTCACAAAAAGAGTAAAATAAAGGGGATTCTTGTCTTGAAGTCACCCGGAAGCAACGGTTCGTACGCAAAGAAATCTGATTGGTTCGGGAGAGCGCTCGTAACCAATGAGAGACTTGAAGCGGTGCTGCCCTCTGGTGGTGAGTGGCGGTACTGCAGCTCGGCCACGAACCCTTTTGTCCCAACAGACATCATTTATCATCAGTCTTTGTTGGTCCTCCTCTGCAAAGGTACAAGTAGCAAATGTAGACTAAAATAACAGTAGTAGTAGAAAAATGTGTGATTGCTACAATGAAAAAAAATCTGATTATTGTCAGTGTTTTTTTWAAATTATCGTTTACTTTTTCCATTTCTAAACAATATTTTAAGGATGCCAAATTTATCTTTTAGTGTACTTACAAATGGATCTTAACAACTGTAATTTGAAGAATGTGTTAACAAGTTATTTTTGTAAAGTTTGTGAGTTACGAAAATCAAAACACACCAAAATTATGTTTGTTATTCAGACACTGGAGGAGGTACTTTTGGTGAAATTGGATATTATATCTGTTTTTCTGTAACCTTGGAAACCAGTCTGTTTTAAAACCATTCTCGGTCTGGGTTTCCAGGTTGTTAAAACCCTCTTTACTTGTGTTTGTCCTCTTCCACAATGACACTGAAGCTTTGTCTTCTTGATGTATTGAAAAAAGAGAGAGAGATCCACTCCATTGGACTATAACAACACTCACCTTTTAAGACAAAGTCTGCAGAGCATTTGGACAAAAATCCATTTATCAACGTCTTGCTACCAGTCAGAGCTGCAGAATTCACTGATTTCTACAAAGGAGCAAACAAACCAGCTGCAGCCATAACCATTTTCGCAAAACTGACTCAGTTTTGATCCTCAAAACAGTCAAAACAAATCWCAGAATAACAACTGAGGCTTTATAAATAAAGCCCATAAAGCCTTTCGAGAGATTCAAATGATTTATTTAAATTACATTTGCAACCCAAATTCTGAAAAAAAAAATATTGTTTTGCTAAAACATTCAAAGCCTTCCATGAAAAAGAAACTAATATTTGTTAAATGGATTGTTTTCTATCCAACCAGGACATTCAAAGCGCCTTACGCTACAATCTCACTACAAAACGTGTACAAATCAATCTATAGAGACTAATCAGTGCTTTAAATCACACTCATACACTGATGGGACACACATCAGAGGCAGTGGGAGTCCAGTGTCTTGCCCAGGGACACTTCGACATGTGACAGAAAAGCAGGGAATCGAACCGACAGCTCTTTTGATGAGAGGAACGACTCCCCGAAACACTGCACAGCTGCCYAGTGGAAGGTCTAAAACCTGTCTGCTCTGGACCGGTGGTGCTTCTCAAGATGCGTAAACTGCCAATGCAACCCCATACCATTAGAGAGGCYTTTTAAAACTGCGTGTGGTAACATGTTGGATGGTTCCTCCCCTCTTTGTTTCATTTTCTTTAAAGAAATGGAACAATTTCTTAGCTAAAACACTTCCTWGTTATGTTCCACAGTAAAATAYGRGTTTRTGAGATTAGCAAAGTGTTGCTTTCTTTTTATATTAGCGTTTTACACCATGAAATGTTTTGTTATCATTGTTGTTTTCAACAACTGACTGTTTTTTATATACTTATATGCGATCTCTGTGATAGGTTTCTCTCTTTGAACCTGTACATCTGAACATGACTCCACTCCAGAACCTGTTAGTAGCTAATTCACATGTACCTTGAGAGGCAAACATGGAGTGTGTGTGTGTGTG